GGGACCGATCGATTGGATAATGTGGGCCAACAATCACGTGGAGAAAATCTTGAGTATTGGAAAAAAAAACGTGACTTGCGTGTGTGTGGTGATTTGGAGTTGAAAAAACAAAGTGAGAATTGTTAAATTGGTGGTTGATGGGTTGGTTGGAAATTTATTATATCATAAATGCATTTATTATGAAATGAGGGCAATTTAGTCAATTTACATGATAAAATAAGTTGAGGGGTCAGAAATCTGAGGTGGAGGGGTCATAAATAGGTAAAAATTAAAAGGGGGTCAAAAGTCCAAAGTGGTTATTAAAAGGGGTCAAAAATCCCAATTTCCCAAGATTACAAGCCCTCGCAACTTTAAATTTCATCCCAGGAAAAAAAAATAAAAAATTCTTAAGAAGGCCTTTGTTAAAGCCTTACAACCAACCCACTCATGAAGCCACGCCTAAAAACAAAAACAAAAATTTAGGTTTATTAGAGGGTGGTTTTGAAACATTTATGTTTATTGTTGAGAGAAATATAAGCGTTTGGTAACAATAAATGATAAACAAGAAAAAAAGTGTCACCATCATTCACTGCCGAACTAGTGTAGAATCATTGTATGGTAACACTAAAAGTGGTGAATAGAAAGAAAAAATTTCGCAACTTAATCTAAAATTAATTCTAATTCAGACCCACAAAATAATCCATCTAAAATCAACGTGAGAGATATTATAAGTTTACCCAATCAGTTAAAGAACTAGTAATTTAACTAATGTCACTTAATGAAGCAATGGAAATATGAAAGTGTAGGGAAGAGAGATGATGGTAGAAGTTTTATTTGAAAATTCCTAGTACTACAACATACGGCCAGACTCATTTTTGGGTCGATCGAGTGAGAGTTAAACCGATCGACCCGTTTTTTTGTGAGTCCAAGAGTAAATTCTTTCTACTGATCCTTATGTAGGTCTAAGATCTAACATCTACTTCTGATCTTCAGTGTCCCACACCTTACTATAAAAATTCTAAATGATATAAAGTAAATTGGAAGCCCACGAAGTAAACTAACCCTTACAAGAGTGGATTTAAAGTTTAGCACCAAAAAAACAGTTTAACCTCTCAACTCATTTTACCTCCAATAAGAATAAATGAGAATTTTTAGCTTTGGGGAGAGATTTGTTAATGGAGCTTTTTGGGAGGAAATTTTTAGCAATAGAGATCTAAGAGGGAGGAAATGGTGGCTGAAAAACTAGGTTTAATAGAGGATTAAAGGTGTTGAAGCTAAAATATGAGCCATTGGATCTAAGACATGTAATCAAAGGGTAGATATTTAATGGAAAGAAAAGAATGATAAAATTAATTTAGAAAATGAAGAATGAAACACAAAGGCCCGCATCATCTAATTCCATGTCATCTAATCGGATTATGGGTGCCACGTCATATGCCACATCATTAAATATGACCATTGAGATGCATATGTCAAATGCCGATTGCCACGTGTGGTGACGTCAACTGCCACGGATATTACTTTATAATCTTCTTTTGGTCACAACCTTCTCATTTGACATTCAATTTCAACGATTCAAAATGCATTGAAATTGTTCCTTTGCATGCTATACACTAAGGACTTTGAAATACCAAAATTGTATATATAGTTTATTATTAAAAAAAAAAAAAACTAAAACTATTTTATGATTGAAGCTCATAAAACTAACCCCTAGAGATATAATGCTGCTTTTTGACACTAGCTCTACTTAATTACCTAGTGTCGCAATGCCCCGACCTACAGACACCAAAGAAATCTCGTTTTTAGGGTTAACATGTTATGGTACTCCATATTTCTTCTTAAAATATTTTTGATGAGCTTCGATCGTGCATCAAATGAGTATCCTACATTGAAAAGAAAAGGACCTTACAATGACTTATAACAGACATGAACTACTTCTCTCTAGGATCTTGAGGAGACATGTTAAGTTACAAATGCACCACAACAACGATCTACTCTACCATGTTTCCACTCGAGAAAAGATTAATTAAAAATTAGAGACAAAAAAGAAGGAATTAACCCCATCAAGTGCAACTCTAATGACTCGAACAAAGCAAAATCTAAAATTCTCTTATGGGAAAAATCAAAACTTTTCATATAAAAACTAACAAGCAGTTGAGACATGGGGGAGATGTCCTACACTAAGAACAATGCATGGGTTGATGTTGAAAAACCCTAGTTTAGTGGGAAAAATGTCTTACCTTTTTGCCACCAAAAATAAAAAAATATTAACAATAATAATAATGACTTCTCTCATACATTATTAAAGGAAAAGTTTTGTTTTCCAATGCAAAAAGGGGAATGAAGGGGGCATGCAACAAGGGAAAAAAAAGGCACAACTTCACACACATAAATCCAACACAAAGGAAGAAAATATGGCTCATCTTGATTCTTGTAATTCTCTCTCTCCAGAAGAAAAAAGCCAAGTCTTCTAATTTTCAATGAAGTTTAAGACTAGATCTCTATATATTTTCAAGCTTTTCCCTCTCTCTCTTTCTCTCTCTCTCCACTTTCTTTGGTGGAGTTTTAGGTTTTTCTTCCCTTTCCTTTGCCAATGTCTTCTCCTCTTCTCATGCATAATAAGATGTCAATCTCATTCTATCTAATTCTTTTGCTTCTTTTCATCTCTTTTCAAGCATGCCATCCCAAGAGTCTTCGCTTTGCTGATAACAAATCTAAGACGAAACTTCAAGCTCTTGTTGAGGTTAGTACCTTGATAATGTTCATATTTTCGTTTCTTTTTTTTTTTCCTCAAAGGTGGAGCTATTATGTACATAATATTTCAATTATAAAAGGTTAGTGAGGGTAAACAAAACGAGAACTACAAAATCTTAAAATATTTTATATTTATTTATTTTTCATTATGATAAACTACCTTTCTTCTTGGTCATGCCCCCTTGATTTTTCTTTTCTGAGAAAGAAGAAAGAAAAAGAAAACTGTGTTTACCGACGCCCTTCGGTGGTATACTAGTCTCGATAGCAAAGCCGCCTTCGGCCCTTCRCTTAGTAAGCCCCTCTTCGAGCCTCAACAAAATTCCGCTCGCTCCAATCCAACATAGCGTTGAAAAAGGAGAACATCCCCTATTGTTGATAGATAGAGAGCTTACTGCCCCGCCCTTTAGTAACTGTTTTCTTGATTTCTGTTTGTTTGATTCTTTTAATTTAAATTTTAAGAAAACAAAGGTTTACATGAGAATTGGTTTTTCAAAATATTATGTTACATTTATTTTTCAAATATTTATAATGCACTTAATACAAGTAGAAACAATAAATAGAGATGGAACGATCTTACCAAAAACTTATGCTTCTAAAAATTTAGAAACAAGAAATAAGAATGTTAAAAAAAATGTAAAACTTTTCTTTTAAGAATTCGAAACGTTTTTTATGGGTTTGTAAGGTAAAAACAAAGTCAGATATTAGCTAGAAAAGGAGATTATTGGTATATATATGTGAGGAACAACATCTTGTTGGGTGAAACCATAAGTGAGGATTATGCCTAAAGTAACCAATATCATAGTATTGTGGGAACGTGGAGGGTCCTTGTCCGAATGGGTGGCTCCCAACAGATATCGACTCTATAAAAACATGAAAAACAAATATTCTATATCTTGTTATATATATAATATTACAGCTTTTGTCTCTTTGTTTTTGGCTTTGATCTTGTAGGGCAGATTGGCGAGGATGGTTTTAATTTCTTGGGAGAAAGCAGCAACAGAAAACATGAAGTTATCATCTTCAAAGGCAGGCGAAGAACAGAGAGAAACTTTTAGATCCAAAAGATCAAACAAATACAAGAAGAGGAAGAAGCAGATGAAGAGATCAGTAGAAGACTTTAAAAAAGTTTCATGGCGACTGCCCCATCATCATGATCTTTCCAAGAAACTTAAGCATAACAATGGCGTTTTCGATTCAGATTATGAACATGCCAGAACCCATCCTCCTTCTCATAACTAAATATATATATATATAAAGAGATGTAAAGTAATTAATATTAATTATTATAATTATGTTGTAATGTACCTTCTTTTTCTCATCTTTATTTACTCTTCTCTTCTTAGTTAGCTATATTTTACATGGAAATGTATGTAACACTCTAACGACCTAACTGCAGATTGTTCCAAATCAAGCAAGTTTAATTTTGGAGTTTTTTATGATTCAACAATCGAAAAGGAAGATGCATCATGTTGGTATAGGTAGTGACTATCAATTCTTTTTTAGGTCTTTTCTTAACCATGCTTCCGTGATCTTAGGATCCTCTCATTCAGATGTGGTACCGATTCATCCATGTATCCCTCATCTCTACTTGAGTGTCACACTTTTTCACTCATAAATTCAAAAGCAAAGTATGTAATTGAAAGCTGGTCTTGAAGATAACTGCATTTATTTAGTCCACAAGACATTCTATTGGTCTTGAAAGTTTAAGATACCTTTTGATTCTAATTTGAATACTTGTGGCTAATATATAAAATACCAAGTTCAAGCATTACTAACTTCTTTAAAGGTAAGAAGTCCGAATCCCCGCTCCTATTGAATTAAAAAGAAGGTTAGAAATGGAGTGGGACTCTAGCTCAAAAGATTAGAGCATGTACTTATCGACAAAAAAAGAGAAGATTTTCTTTCGATAGTTTAAAGCATAGATAATTAACCTTTTTTTATAGGTTGGGAAGCATTGTCACTCCCAATTTGTAAAGCTATATTAAAAGAAGAAAAAAAAATGAAGAAGGAATAATACTTGTGTATTTAATTATTTTTGGTTAATGGTTTCACGATGAAAAAATAAAAGACCTAACAAAGTTTAAACGTATGAGTTACTCCTCTCATAGACAATTGGTTAAGATATGAAACTTCATAAATATCAATATGGTATCAGAGCCTAAAACAGTCAAACAAGCATTCAGTTAAAAATGCAGTGATCTCACATTTAAAAGATAAGGGATCTCACAAAGATTTATGATAGATATGAATTACTCCTTTCATTATCGATTGGTTTTGAGATAATCCATGAATATTAATAGTTGTTTATGATAATAATTCATAGCAGACGATATTCTTGTAACTAGCTTCTTGCAAAAGAATCTCGTTTGATATATATATTTTGTTCCTCAAGAAAATTTCGGGCTCTACTTTTTTTTTGAAATCAAAGGAATTGCATTAATAAAGAAATGCCTCATGGGCTACAGCAGTAAACGGGCCCAAGCAAATGTTGGCCCAAAAAGAACATCTAACATTCAATAGCATGCTACGAAGAAACAGCTTAATATGTGCCACACTTCATTTAAAGATCTTTTGACATGGGCAAATTTGACTTCCATGAAAGAGAGAACAAGTCCTCGAATCTCTGCGATCAAAACTTCCACTTCATCAAGTCTCTCAAAATTTGATGAAAGAAGCTTCACCGCTTCCAGGCAGTCAGACAGTAGAAGAATGTGGTTGAAACCCAACCAATGTGCTAGGCGCAAAGCTTCAATAATGGCGACTAACTCAGCATGCAGCGGAGGCAAATTGACATATCCACAAAGCGGGATCGGCCAAAGATGAAATTAAGATCCTTATCTTGAAAGAAAGCCCCAAAACCAGTCTGAGGAAGGCTCGGGTGACAGGCAGCATCAGTATAAATTCGTACACAGTCGGTATTTTGAAGATCCGGGATCGGGTACGAAGAATGGTCGCCACAATGATATGTAAGAATCAATGATACTCTTATCAATCACTTTATTACTTGAGTGACTGCATAAAACTAGCCTAAACATGAGATCGGGGACAGGTTCTCTCGACCTCCCCGGGGGGTGGGGGAGTTGGGGCATGACTTTTGTGTTGCGAGTGCATGCGTCCACCATGGTCAGGGTTTTCATAAGTACCTTGTACGTAGTTAAGGTGAAGCTTTGTTTGGTGTTGATTCTAGACTAGACTGAAAATAACCCTATGACTGACCTAGTTGAAATTTGACGTTGATTCGGGAAAAGCGGAATCCGCGGGATAAAAGGTTTGGTTCAGGAGAAAAATGATATGTTAGTTCGGATGTTTAGGTTATCGAAATATTCTCGTTCCACTCGAAAGATTCTTGTTATTGCTTCAATCCATATTCCCCAAAAAAGTGGATCCCGCTCTAATAGCTCTGAATAAATTAAATACATGCATTCAAATGCCAAGCTTTTTCTACATCCACAAGCACTTTTTCACTCTTTAATATACTAGGGGATTTCACTTGGGATTTGGAGAAAGAAGAAGCATGGCATGAGAACGGAAAAATTTTCGATAGCAAATTACTTGACTCGATGGATGGAGGGAGGGCTCCCCAACTCAAGCAAAACTTCTGTCGCTCCATCCCGGCAGGGGCAGAGAACCCATCACTGTCTTGGTTGTGCTACTGGAGGCTCTGGGGAAATTGGAATAGGAGAGCACTCAGGTCAGCTTTCCCGTTCTTGAGGACTTTCTGGCCGGTAGGCTTTATAGCGGACCTGCCTTGCTAACAGGGAGTGACAAGTTTATACAGTCTCCTCGGGTTTCTCATTTAGTAGCTGATAAACGTATTTTGAGATATCTAAAAGCTGACTATTCTAGAAACCTTGCCATTAGTGTCGAGACCAGTCAAAAGGCCTAGAAAGGACAGACTGGACATCGTAAACTGGTCGTTATTGGAGTCACCATTTCCGTAATTCAAGTCCAAGCCTATCAATAAAGGGAAGGCGGGCAGAGAGTTGGCTAAGCCATATTTACCCTGCGGATCATGAGGTCCGCCCGGTTGGGCTCAACCTCAGAGAAAGGTTGAGTGAACAGGAAAGAGAGACTTTCGCCGGCATGGCCACAAGTGGAAGCAACCGATGCTTTGGTCATTCAGTTGACTCCTTGCTGCCAGTCTGTGCTGCACATAGGGCTTCAACACTACTACAGCGCTTTGCTAACTCGAAGCGCCTTGCTATGAGAATCTAGCTTTGCTAATGCTCGACTAAGGCCTTTTAGTAAACCTTCTAATTGGAGAGGCCAGACGCCAAAGCAAAAGAACTTGTGGAGTTCGAATCAAACACTTTGGGGTCAAAGCCTAGACCAAAGGTGCCTAATAGCGTAGGAGACTCATCGGGTAGCAAATCCCATCCTCAGCTAAACCAAGCCTCGGGTAAGTACATTTTGTGCAACAACCCTTCCTATCTGATAGAAAAGGATCCCATGATCCTGAACCGATCTTACCTRGGATCGCAAATCCCAAGTTTGTCTATGAAGAGCAGATCGAATGAGATTAGTGTCTCTCATTTCTTTCTTCTGCGTAATAYTAATCGATAGGGCCTCATTGGTAAGTGCTACAAGATCTCGTACATTGGAACCTATATCCAAGCAGCAACTCTATGAGTCCGCTCGGAACCAATCGATTCCTGAGCCATTCATTCTCCCCTCTCGGTTGGCGTTTGCCAGCCAAAACGCTAGATGCTTCGTTTGTAAGTACATTTGATCCAGAGATAACTTTAAGAAAAAAGCCGGCCATGTTAGTTACTTTGATGCTACAAGGTGATTGTCTGATATAGCTGCTAAAGCATTTCCAGTGAAGGGAAGATCTTCTTCTTCTATCTGAGCAGTTTTGTTACTTTATAGCTCGCTAACATTGTTAGCTTATGTACTCTTTTGTGACATCAACAAAACCGGTCCCAAGGATGATTTTCCTTTGCCACACATTGACATCTTGGCTGACAATAAAGCGGGGCATGAATTATTAGATGGGTTCTCAGGGTACAATCACAAACAAAGATGGCGCTAGAAGATATGCATAAAACCTCAGTATTCCCCAGTGGGGAACATTTTGCTACCGTGTCATGTCTTTCGGTCTCAAACTGGGGCAACAACGTTTGGAAAGCAATAGTCATGTTTCTAATCCTCCAATCTACCAACAAAATATACTATTTGATCCCTTTACCAGCTAGCCAATCAAGTTGGTCGTCGTCACACCACTCGCTGATGCGGATCTAGGAGGCTGGGTCGTCTCGCATTGAATATGAATAAGCTCTTCTTTCATTCCTCTTGTTCAAATGCTTTCCCTTGGCTTCGGTGCCAGCTAGGACTGGTAGCATGGTCTTCTTTTAGGCTTCTCTCGGTGGTGGAATGAGAGCTGCACGTTAGCACTTAACTTTCTTACTTTTCCGGTATAATAGGTGGGTAAGCTTATTAGCCTAAATTGCTCTCCCTATACCATTTCCTAAATTGAAGAGAATCTTAAACAAGTGAAATCTTAGCCAAACTAAAAATTGCTAGCTAGATAGAGGAAAATCTCAAGCAAGTGAAATATTAGGAAAAAAAAGTACCATAGTGGAAGAATGATAAAAGCAATCTATAATAAAATTAATTGTAGTACCAATTAGTTCAAAACTTCATAAGTTTGAGCTAAATTACAACTTAGTTTACATAGTGGAAGAATGATAAAAGCAATCCATAATAAAATTAATTGTAGTACCAAAAAATGGAAGTGAATTAGTAGAACCATCTACTAAATTAAAAGAATGTTAGACTATAATTGAGCTAAGGAAAGCTATTGAAAACCAAATATAGAAGAAAATCGCAACAAAAAACGACCATGTGGTTGTGCTACTTAAGTAATATAATTCTTGTCAACTATGCTTTTAGAGAAATCAGTTGTAATATTTGAAGTTTGGTAAATTTCTATTTAATACATGAAAAAAAAGATATAATGTTTATAAATTAATATTAAATTATTGTGATTGCACTATAGCAACTAAAAATAGGCATATGATACAATTTGCCTTTTTTTTAAATAATTTTTAAAAATTTTTAGAAAATCATTTAAAATTTGTTTGTGTGAGAAAAGTTATATAAAGTCAATGTTGAATTTGTTGAAGAATAAAATTGATATTTTAAAAAGATATATTTAAATGCTCTTGAATTTTCTAGAATCCAAAAAGAAAAATCTTTTTGGCAGTGTTGTTGCAATGCAACTATACTCTTCATAAGCATATAATTCTTAG